CACACACACACACACACACACACACACACACACACACACACACACACACACACACACACACATATACAAACACACACACACAAACACAAACCCAAGCAGACAAGACAGATAGACAGAAGAGAAGATAAAAAAGGGAAAAAAAGAAATACATATATACATATAGTCATGTTTGAACAAAACAAACAAATAGAAGAAAGTAAAAAAAGACAGACCACCGAACCTCTTTTTCACTCTTGTCACATCTTGAATAATTCCCAACCATTTTTTCCCATACCGACGCGAGTTCATAAAAAAAAGATTTTCCACGCCCAAATATACCTTCAGAAATCACAATGGCGCGGAGGGTGAGACGATTTCCAGAGATCTTGAGGAGTTAATTGAATTTTTACTTAACGAGGTGCGTGTGAGAAGTCGAAACAGTTTTAGGGTTTCTGGTAAGAGAAGAAACCTTGTTTTAAAAATTTCATTCTATAATATCGAATGAAATTATACATTTCTTTTAATGTTTTAACCGTCATTTAACCTGGATTTAAGCGCCGGTGATATTTGCTTTGATAAGTGTACGCTTAAATTTATCGCATTTTGACTCTGACAACATTTGTATGGTAATTAAATCGCGAATTAAATCGAGAGATTATAGTACTCACGGCAATGACCTTTTGCAGCCTTTAGTTAAAAAAAAAAGTATTTAAAAGCTTCTCTATTATCTGGGTTGGGAAGCCACATCCAGCGCAAGGACACGGGTGTAAGTGTGTAGAAACCGCCGCAAAATCCGTGCTTAAGCTACATTAAGCTTCATAGACCTCTGCATTGGGTTGTTTTTTGTGTCTGTCTGTCAGGGTTTTTTTCTCGATTCTGTGGCAGTGTGAGAACCAGATCCAAAGTTGCCATTACTGTTGTTGATTTTTGTTGTTCTTTCGTAACCTGTTCCTGGGGCTTATTAATTAAAATAGCGGTGTTGCCATAAACAGAGAGGCATCCAAGGTTGTTCTACGATACAGGACCTGATTTGAATTCCCTTGCGGGGTGAAAAGGTGGAGCAAAATACGAAAGCGTCGGAAAATGCGAAAATAAGGTAATTCAGGCACGCGTTATTGGGAAGAAATAGCATGCTCTCTTTTTCTGTCCTCAATCTCCCTTATGGAGTATATCGCAATCGATTTCTTTTCTCCTTCTTCCTTTGGGTTTCTCTCTCTCTCTCTTTCTCTTTCTCTCTCTCTCTCTCTCTCTCTCTCTCTCTCTCTCTCTCTCTCTCTCTCTCTCTCTCTCTCTCTCTCTCTCTCTCTCTCTCTCTCTCTCTCTCTCTCTCTCTCTCTCTCTCTCTCTCTCTCTCTCTCTCTCTCTCTCTCTCTCCTCTCCCTCCCCCTCTTCCCTCCTCCCTCCCCCCTTCTATCCCTCCCTCCCTCCCCCCCTCTCCCCTCTTCCCCTCCTCCCCTCCCTTCCTCCTCTCTCCCATCCCTCCCTCCATCTCTCTCTCTTCTCTCTCCCTCCTCCACCCCCCCCCTCTCTCTCCCTCTCTTCCGCGCCTTCTTGTCCGCGTCAACCCCATATACCTTTCCCTTTTCCCGTATCACGAAAACAGCTAACGCCCTTGCATTCAGAGGAAGAACTGTAAAGTACTATTGTTCTACGCCAGTTACTTGATACGCCCTCTACTGTCTTAGGCCGCCCCCGCTTTTCTCTCTCTCGTTTTAATCCAGTCTTCTCCCTCCTCCCCTCTTTTTTCTGCTATGTCCATCTCCCATTTCTCTTCCTTTCCTTCTCCTTTTCTTTTCTTGTTTTATCCCTTTCTCTGTCCTTTGCCCTTCTCATTTTTCTCTCTCTTCTTTTACCCTTTCCCTTCCTATCTTTTCTTCGGTCTTCTCCCTCTTCTTTCCTCTTCCCTCTTCCCTCCTCTTGCTCACACCCTTTCCCTCACTCTTTCGTCTCCTTCCTTGTTTCTCTCTATTCCCTCCTCTCTCTCTCTCTCTTTCTCCCTCTTTTCCCCTCATTCTCCATTCTCTCTTTCTCCTCTTCCTTTCTCACCTCCCCCGCACCACCCTTATGTGCGTTGTCCATCTTGTTTGCGTGAATCGGATTTACAATCTGCTCGATTTTATTCTATTTAGTTGACTGTTTCCTTTTCTTTTCTGTTACGTGAAATATCTAATCCGATTTCCATTATTCTTTGAAAATAGCGATGCGTAAATATGTCTATGAGGAAAACGTGGTAAGACAAAGTAAGCCGTTGCTCTAAAACGTGTTGGGGGCGAAATGCTTGTGTTCGCGCGCAAAAAAAATTATGTCGTCCAAAATTATTTGTATTATCGTTTTCCCCACATTCTTAGTAAGAGAAGTCCGTGACTAGTTCGTGTTTCTTATTTTAGCTCATTTATTATCTGTCTTTTCTATAGTTGTTGATGTTAAGTAAGAAAGGAAAAGCGTCGGAGCCAAAGGAATAGCGGAGCCGAGGGAAGACACGTACGAGCACTCTCCTCTCGGCGGCGGAGGGAAGTATTGAGACGCCGAGCCTGGTTCTCTGTCTTGTCCTCGCTCTTCCTTTGTTTCCTGGGATATGCTGCGCCCATTCTAATTTGTCCACTTCTTTTTTTTTTTGACTTGGAAGTATATAAGCAAAGCATTGTCTCGTGCAAAACTTACTAATGTGTTTCGTGAAAGGAGGACGTTGTGCGGACTTATTTTTTTATTTTCGTTTGTCTCTCTTTTGACTTGGGTGTTCTTAGGTTGCGTCTTCGTTTGCGTGGGTGCGCGTTGTCTCTGTCGTTTGTCTAACGTAGTCTTATCTTAATACAGGACGTCGAGATGTGATAAAAGGGAACTTCTTTTAGAGTTTTTGTGACGAAAAATTAAAAAAAATAAATAAAAAATAACATTTAACAGAAAAAAATCGATACTCAAACCATGAAGAGAAGAAAACAAAAAACTTAAAATAATAAAAAAAACGAAGTGAAACGCCGACGGAAGAAAACTGAAGAAAAAAAGATAAAAAAAAGAAACATTGGACTCTCCTCGAAGGCTCACGAAGCCCCGAAACTGGACAAGAAAACGACTTCCATTCGCCCACTTTCATTCCATCTCAGCAACAGCAGCCTCAGCCCTCCTACCCCACATCTCGGCGCCCCAACCTCCTCCTAAGCCCCCCCTACGCCCCCACCTCGCCCCCACCTCGCCCCCACTTCGCCCCCCACACAGCCCGCACTGACTAGATGACCTCAGAGTCGCCTCCGCTCGCCTTGCAAATCCTCATCCTCCTCAACATGGCGAGTGTGTCGGTGCTGGTGTACGGCGTGGGCGTGGCTGTGAGGTCGGGCGCCACTCTCGGGGGCCTCATGCTCTTCCTGTACATCGCCATCGTCCTGTACATCCTGTACAATTCGTCTCTTCTCCCGCCCATCATTTGCACGTCGTAAGTCCTGCGGGTTGGGCGGACTTGGAGGCCTTTCGTTTATTTAGTTTATTTTATGTATTTTATTTTTATTATATATATTTTATTTTGTTTTATTTTATATTTTATTTTTATTATATATATATTATTCTATTTTATTTTTTGTTTTGTTCTTTTGCGAGTTTTGTTTGGATGATGTGGGTGAAGAAGTGTTGTTTGTTATATTATTGTCTTCCAACACATTCTTGTGTAAATAAGTAGATAAGTGTACATAAGTAGCTACGTGTTAGAAACTGTAAATGATTCGGTTGACATAAAGCGGGTAATTAAGTAGACGTAGACGACCAATTTCTTGTCAATTTATGCCTAATTTAAATCCGTACAACCGCGTGCAGTAGTATTCCAACCACTCTGCATATGTCACTGAAGGACACATCGAGAGACAACAATTTTAATGACTTAATTAAAAACTCTCTCTTCTGGACCGCAAGCCATCCTGCCCTGATTCCAGCTGACGAGTGTTTGTGCATTCTATTATTAATGTCTTTTTTATTACGTGATATAAAAAAGGAGTGTGATATGCAGCTTTGTAATAAAAAAAATAGTTAATGATTTGGAAGTATTTGTTTTGTTGGATTGTATAAAGAGGAAAAGTTGTATTATTTACGAACTGAATGTGAGAGAGAGAATGAGAGAATGATATATTTCCGATATTCTGTGCATTGAACAAAGCTGTGCAAAAATAACATTAGTTCACCACTTTACCCTCAATTGATTTCCAATGTGTCCATCCACTTTGGTTTCTAACGTAAAAAAAACAAAACAGACAGACACTTTGATGAACTTCACTTCCCCGCGATGCAGAACTCCAGCAGAGAACTTCAACTTCCTCGGAGAATATTCCAGAAACTAAGTCCCCCATCTGCGAGTCTTCTCTCCCCCCCCCCCCTGTGTTATCCATTATCCCTCGCCTCTCTTTCCCTTAAGACATTCTAAGTCGCTTTCAAGTCGTTATCCTCATTTCTCCACGCCTCCGTTTTCTCCATTTCTTTCGTGTCCTTTTTTCGCATTTCTTCATTTCTCTTTTCTCTCTTTCTCTTTCGCTTATCTAATCATGCCTGTCTTACTTTCTTAATTTCTTCCATTCTCTCATTCTCTTTCCATTTATCTAATCATTCCTTTCTTTATGTCTCAATGTCTCTCATCCTCTCTCTCTCTCTCTCTCTCTCTCTCTCTCTCTCTCTCTCTCTCTCTCTCTCTCTCTCTCTCTCTCTCTCTCTCTCTCTCTTTCTCTCTCTCTCTCTCTCTCTCTCTCCATTCTCCCTTTATCTCTCTCCTTCTTTCCATTCTTTCTTTATCTATTTCCTTCTTCCCATTCTTTCTTTATCTCTCTCTCTCTCCATTCTCCCTTTCTCTCTCTCTCTCTCTCTCTCTCTCTCTCTCTCTCTCTCTCTCTCTCTCTCTCTCTCTCTCTCTCTCTCTCTCTCTCTCTTCCTCTCCCTCTCCCTCTCCCTCCCTCCCTCCCTCTCCATTCTCCCTTAATCTCCCTCCCTCCATTCTCCCTTTATCTCCCTCTCCTCCCCCCCATCTAATCGTCCCTTTTCTTCTCCCGCAGGTTTGGGCATCCGCTCTTCAGGTCGAGCAAGGAGAGGCGGCGGGCGAGGCTGAAGGATGCGAGGTCCTCCAAGTGCAACTCGGGAGACTCCGGCGACTCAGGCATCGAGGTGGGTGCGGCCTTCGGGATGTTCGAGGGTGAGGGGAAGGGGTTTGAGGGTGGGAGGGAGGGGAAGGGGTTTGAGGGAGGGAGGGAGGGAAAAGGGGGTGGAGGGAGGGAGGGTGGGAGGGAGGGAAAAGGGGGTGGAGTGAGGGAGGGTGGGAGGGAGGGAAAGAGGGGTGGGGTGAGGGAGGAAGGGTGGGAAAGGGGGTGGAGTGAGAGAGTGAGTGAGGGAGGGAGGGAAAGGGGGTGGAGTGAGTAAGGGAATGAATGAGTGAGTCAGTCAGTGAGGGAGGGAGAGAAAGGTTGGTGGAGTGAATGAGTGAGGGAGGGGCGACTCCGGCATCGAGGTGGGTGAGGGAAGGAAGGGGAGGGGTGGAGTGAGGGAGTGAGGGAGTGGAAATGTGAGATAGAGTGAGTAGGAAAGTGAGAGGGTGAGTGAGAAGGGAGTGTGAGAGAGAAAGTGAGGGTGAGTGAGAAAGTGAGAGTGGGTGAGGAATTGAAAGAGTAAGAAAGAGTAATTGAGAAAGCAAGAATGAGTGAGAAACTGGGAGTAAATGAAAAAGTAAGAGAGTGAGTGAGAAGTTGAGTGTGAAAGTGAGAGAGTAAGAAAGAGAGTAAATGAGAAAGTCGACAATGAGTGAGAAAATAAGAAAAAGAGTAAGAAAGTGTATGTGTAAGAGAGAGAGAGAGAGAGAGAGAGAGAGAGAGAGAGAGAGAGAGAGAGAGAGAGAGAGAGAGAGAGAGAGAAGGAGAAGGAGAGGGAGGGAAGTGGGGAGGGGACTAACAAACACAAGTAAGAGAATATCCTCAATGCTAAATCACATGTCTTTTGTCGTAGCGTACTGCTGTACAATTACTATAATTACTCATCCAATTGTCTGTTAAGAGGAATGGCTACATCACAGTATTACCAGATGTTTAGTCAATCTGCTTCGATGACGCTTGAAGCCACACCTCTGTCTAAGCGCGAACACAAGGATGACGTGTGCCGCAGTTAGGTAAGAACTATCTCTTTCTCAAAACTACTCGAGCTGTATCTCAAAGCAAGCTGCTGCAGCCTCATGGAGAGCGAGCGTGATGAAGCCGTGGCAGCCTGTTAACTGTAACCACACGGCTCAACCCATGTAAATGCTATGGTGCGTAAAGCGAGACATACGACCAGCTGACTGAGGCGTGGGCCGGCATATCGCAGGCTCCTTTGAGGCTCTAGATGTCTGGAAGTAATGTACCTATTTAAAAGCATTCATGATGCGTATAATTTATTCCAAGACAAAAGAATATAAAAAAAAAAACAAAAAAAGAACATTGCAAAGGCAGTAGCGAGTGCCGCGTGACGTCACGAGGGGTGATATAAGAAAGAGCCTGGACAGGTTGTTGTGACGTATTCACTCCGTTGCGAGATGTTGCCACTGCCACCCAAGGGAGCGGGAATTCACTTGCCATTGAGAGTGATGTCAGTGACCTGCAGTAACAGGTTCAAGTTTCCCATTTTTTGGGTGAGAAAAGTGACTTGCGTAAGCCGTGTTATGTGCGTGCAATACTCTACGGAGTTGGGCGGCCGCTCTTAGAATTCGTGGAACTGTCGCGCGCCAAGTATTGTACAGGTCGATGTCTGCCATTATAATCCTACAACAGTCGTACATGTCATGTTCGCATGACGCTTCCTCCCATTTTTTTCCATATATATCCAGAAATCATTGTCAGTTTGCGAGTCACGAAGGAGGTCGTCACACCTTTCTGCGTACTCAGACCTTGTACGAGTTTCAGGTTACGTCGCCAGGTGACGCCCTCGCCCAGGTCAGGCTTATCACCCCCTCCCCCTCCCCACCCCCGACCTTCTCGCCCAGGGCACGACCCGACCCAGATCCCGCGCGCCTTTCGCTGGTTCCTCTCGGACGTGGGCGCGGCGGGGGAAGCGGGCTGGACGGATCGCCTCTGTACTTCCGCTCCCTCAAACAACCTCTTCTCGAGTTTCTCGTTGCGCCCGCTGTCAATTTTATGATTTCTTGCACACGCTTTCGCTCGCTTGCTCTCCTTGTTTCTCCCGGCTTGCAAAATGGGATGTTATTTTTATCAGCGGGGAGAAGTTCAGCCTTTTCTTTTCTTATTTCTCTCCCTCCCTTCCTCCCTCCCTCCCCCTCTTCTCTCCCTCCCTTCTCTCCCTCCCTTCTCTCCCCCTCACTCCTCGTTCCCTTCTACCCTCCCCCTCTCTCTCCCTCTCCTTAACCCTACTTCTCCCGTTCTATACTCCCTCCTCTCTCTTTCTCCCTCCTCTCTCTTTCTCCCTCCTCTCTCTTTCCCCCTCCTCTCTCTTCTCTTTCTCCCTCCTCTCTCTTTCTCCCTCCTCTCTCTTTCCCCCTCCTCTCTCTTTCCCCCTCCTCTCTCTTTCCCCCTCCTC